TCTGTCTCGAGCATGCCGAACACATGCCAGCAGGAAGGAGCTCTTCTGGCTATGGCGTTGGTTTTTTGCAGTCGTTGCTGGAAGACTTGCAAGAAGGGGAGTGGCAGGGACATTTCTATCTCTGAGTGTCGACTGTAACACCAGGACACTCGGGCTTAATTGACTTTACCCTGAGGGATTTCAAACCCTTACCTCCCAGCTTGCAGGGGAAGGCCTTAATTGTGAGAAGTTATTTCCAGTCCACTACAGATACCTCACCACACGGAAAAGAATCCAAGGTTCATTATCCAGAAGGCATTTAAAATGGATTCACTGATGTAGGGATCTTCACGTGGGCAGAATCCCTTTGACACCAGAAGCGTTTTGACAGAGTGTCTCCCCATGGCAGTTTGGAGGATTCAGATATTACAGTGTTTGCTCAAGTCATGAATTTCACCTCAGAAGTATGAATGTTGAGCTTTTGTCTAGTCAGAGATTGATGTTGCCATAACCTACTATAAGAGTTAAAAATGAGAGCAGTAAGTGATAAGCAGTGCTGACAAGGCTGTCATCATTTGAAGCTGTAGAAATCAGTATTATCTTACTGTGTGTTCAGGTCTGAAGATGAAGATTCCTACAATGAGTGGGGTTTAGTGCAATGGAAGAGGGATATGCCACTAATTAAAATATATTTTAAAACATACTTAAGATGTTATGCAAGAATCAACCGCAGACACATTTGTGTGTGCCTTAAGATAAGGAAGTTCTATCTTCCATGCAAGAAGATCCATTGTGTGTTTTGTATAAGGGCTTTTTATTATTTTTTTGATTTCTTTTAAGTAATCTGTTGCAGAGTAAAAACATTATTCAGGGTTTTTGATCTTAAACAATCAAGAAGAAACCTTTGAAATAAAAGGGCTGTGTGGAGTAATGCTGTTCACAGTCACCATCTGGAGTTCTAACATCCTATAAAAGTGCTCATCTTCCTTTTGCAGGAGCTGTCTGAGCCGTGCATAGCTCTTTTTGAAAAGGTGGGTTTCCAAGGAAAGAAAATGGAATTCAGTACCGAAATCTTAAATCTCCAGTTCCTGGGATACAATCCTCGAATAGCTTCAGTTCAAGTCCTTGGTGGCATGTAAGTTTAAAATCACTTGATTCTTTAGAACGATGTACTTTTTCAGCAGAAAAATGACAGGTGTTAGAAACCAAGGAGTATAAAACTGGAATATCATAATGTGTGCAGTGCATTAATGCAGTTTCTTCTTACAGAACCTTTTCACATCCTCTTTCAGCAATATGTTATCACTGACTGGTGCCCTGGGCTAGAAGTTGAAATGAATTTGCATAAAGCTCACAAGGGAACTGCTGTCTTCTCTCATGTCGTATTATAAAAGCCAGTTTGCATAGCATCCTTAAAACCAGCTTCTGTGCTCTTGGGTTAGGTCTCAGTCATAAAAAAAATCGTTCAGTTTGTGATCTGTGTCATGTGTCTTAAGTTCAAAATGTTTTAATAAGTTTTCATGGTCATCCTTTTACCTAGATGTTATGGACGCAGTGGTACAATCAGATCATGATCTGGCCCCTTTTGGCATTAGGAATAATCCCTTTTATTTCAGGAATCGAGTCAGACTCTTGGTTGTAAATCTAGCAGTCAAATTCATTAGCTATTTCTAAGCAGTTGTGTTCTCCAAATTTACTTTCGAAGATCATTTAAAAAATAGTCTGTGATGAAGTTTAAATACTGTCTGGAAATATTTTGAAAACTACTGTGCTGTCTTCTTCCAGTGTTCCAGCAGATCTGTTAAATTTTTCTTTTTGTGTTTTTTTTTTTTTTTTTTTTCCTGTTGTTAACCTCTACCTCCAAGATAACTTGCCCCAAGTGTATGTTCAGGTTTTTTTAAGAAATGAAGAATGTGACTTATTTTTTTTAACGACAGATCCCTGTTACCGTTGCTTTTCATTTAAATGTGCTTTTTTCAAGAGGTAAATTTCCAAGGTGTGTGCTAGAGAGATGCTGTTGGATAGCTTAAGGCTGCCCTCAAGTGGATAGTTAATACCAGATCTTAGAGCAAACCATTTTCCTCATCTGGATAAGCTGCTCAAAGGGTTTCCTTAGCACACTGAACTGAAGTTTGAAACATAAAGGTCATAAGAAAAGGTACATGCTCCACATTCTTAAGTCTCCTGAGATTTCAGTATCTTTCACCATAACCACAATATAGTTGATTCTCACTTTCCGTAACATGAAATAACATGAAGTCAAACAGCAAGTTACTTCTTTGCCAAGAACGTTGTTACCATGATTCCAGGTAATGGAGTTGTGAATTGTGCGTGTTTCCGAGATATAGATTTTTTTTTTTTTCCTGGTTGATCACTGGAAACATATGTATGATATGAAAATTCTGATTTCATTATAGCAGTGTCAGCTGCTGAAATGTGTCAAAATACAGGTTTCAGACTGTCCTTGCCCTTACTGCCTCCCTTGTTGAAGGGGTTCTCATCTTCTCTTCCTCTGCTAAGAGACATCTGTTTATAATTCTTTTAATTTCATACCTGGGGATAGATGTGTATTAGGCTGTGAAAAAGCAGCAAAATTAAAGTGAGTGTGCTGCTTCTGGATATAGACGTCTGCTGATCAGTCAGAGGAAAGGAGGTAACAGGAAAACATGTGTATTGAGTGTCCGTGTACTCAAAAACCTATGGCTTGCGGGCAGTCCCAGCAAATCAGTGTGAGAAAACTCAACAAATTGCACTGTATTGCAGCCTGTTTCAAAGTCTGGTTGTAATTCACTGCCTGTGCCAACAGTAAAGAAGCAGAAGTCAGGTTCTGACAGGTTGCTGTCAATGTGATTGTAAGTGTGGTTGGATGTGTGCTAGGGAATGCTAAACAAAATTTTTCTAGATGCTTTTTATCTCTCTCTGTCCCCGCCCCCCCCCGCTTCCAGGTGTTTGGACAGAAGAAAGATGTTCTGAAATAAAATCTCTATCAAAATACCCCAGAGAACTTCACCCTGTTGCAGTTGCAGTATTTGCTTGTTGCAATCTGCATCCCTGGTAGTTCTTTCCCACATGGGTCAAGCCTGTCCAAATTAAGATACACAGAACCACTGGTTCTGCACACGCAGCGATCTAGCATGTACAGCCGATGTAGCGTATACGTAGATCCTCCTTGAGGAGTCGGGGTACCTTCTGAAAACAGATGATATTTAAAAGTTGGGTTTTTCCTTTAAGGCAAGAAAATGCATTGTTTCATTCAGCTTGTAATTTTTAAATGACAGGACTTTAAAATGTGAATTCCAGTGTACTCATCTTACTGCAGTTGATCTAAATCAGGAGAGGATTTAATTATTTTTTGAAGACCTGTTAAAATAAAGGTCATTGGCTTTCCAAAGCTAAAGACTACTACATTGAGGGACAGATTTCTACTAAACCCATTTATTGATTCCAAAGCAGGATTTGGCAGTAGAAGCATTCTGTCTTTTTTTCTTTTTTTTTTCTTTTTTCCCTCATAGATGGATAATTTATGAGCATAGTAATTACAGGGGGCGTCAGATGTTGTTATTACCAAATGAAATTCCAGACTGGCATAAAGTGAGTGGCTACTGTCAGATAGGTTCTCTGAGACCTTTACTGCAGGTGAGTAGGCTCTGACATTGAGCTTGTCAAGTACTAATTTATATTTTGTACAGGAGTTGGGGGGATATTATGCAGTTGAAAGCAATATTACAGTCTTGATGCATGTCACAAGCTTCAGCAATGGCAGTTGTGTACAGAAATCGCTCTACAGTTTCACTTGTAATAAAAGCTGTTTGACTTTGCTACATGGCTTTCAGTTCTACTGCTTAAACTGTTCGTTAAGCATACTTTATACCAAAGTACAGAAGACAGCATATAAGGATTGGCTAAATTATATTAACAAATAATAGCTATAACTACTATATAGACATTATTTTAAGTTGTTCTATAATTAGCACCCAAACTGGTTACTGGTGTACTGTCTGCACTATCTGCATTATTTTTGGAACAACAAGAAAATCGGTCAACAAAATTGGATACTTCAATTAGTAGTGATTTTGTGTTGATTTAGGGGGGAGGGCCCTTCCCTGCTTATTACTTGGCAGAATAATTTGCAAATCTAATGCAAAGCTTAGTCTCGTGGTGTCCTTCTGATTTTGTTCTCTAAATAAGGACCATGTGATTTGGTCCAATGCTGCAGCAGCCCTGTGAGCTTTAACACTTGAGGTTCTTGCTGAGCCATATTTTATTGAGGGAACAACTTTTTCCAATTCACAGATTACTTGTACCTGTAACCAAATGCGTTTGCTTGCCGTCATAGCGTTGTCTTTGTATATCCTTAAGCGGAGTTAAGAATAATGCATTTTGACTGCCCTGGCTGAGCGCTTGACTAAACAGAAATGTTAATGTGTAACAAGCTGCAGCATGAATGTGCAGTGTAATATTTACTGCCAGTGAAATAAGCAGCACCCGACAAGTGCAGCCTTAATGAAAGCTAAGGACATTATACAAGAAGATAGCAGAGAGAAGTTGGTGCTGCTCTGAATTAAAAATTCTTAGCTTTCCACTGTGTGCTGATCTCAGTGCATAGGAAAGCCTAAAACTCTCCATGCAGAATGGAGCTTGGCTTGTCCTAGACATTTGTGGACTTTGGAATTAAATTCTGAAATAGAAAAGTTAAGCTTTCTGAAGAAGAGGGAGGCACGGGATTCAGCCCTGAACAGTAGTTGCTCGGAAGTTAACCAGAGCAGGATGTGTTCTGTGCTGAGACTGTGGTTAAAGAGTTCTGTTTTTTTCTGCAGAAACGTGTGTACTTCAGGCTTCGAAACAAGGAAACGGGAAAATTCATGTCAGCTGATGGAAACTTAGACAATCTGAATCTTCTCAGAATCCAAGTTGCAGAAGATACAGACTCAGATGATCAAATCTGGGTTTATCAGGATGGATTCATAAGGTGCCGGGTGAGGTTCAAGTTCAATGTGAATTTTCTCTTTTCCTCTCCAATAATAGGGCTTTCTGAATTCAATTCCCACTGTATCATCTTAATTTATTTTATAGGCTTCTTCTGTTTCAACTGTAATGCAATCTTTTTGTAGGGGTTTGTTTGTTGGTTGTTTTTTTTAATTGAACTGTGGCTTTTTCAGGTGATATAAACTAGTTGTATGATACCTTTTTTGATGTAATTGAAATTTTGAGAGATTTTAGTTACAATTTACTTTCCCCCTGAAGAATGGTAGCCTCATAAGTACATTCAACACCAGATCATTGTCTTGCTCTTCATGATCTCCTGCCATGTTCATCCAGTCTTTCCCCACAGTGAAAATACCACAGAAGTGTCAAAGCCAGGGAGACCTTTTAAAATGCAGACCCTTCCTGATAATGTTTTGAACTATGCACACCTTGTGGTAGGTCAATTAGTGTAATGTAGGTGTTACCCTCTTCTGCATTCAAGCAAGCTTAAAGATAAGGTTGGTTTGGGGTTTTTTTTTTGGTCTGATTTTTTTTTTTTTTCTGGTTACCCCTGTATTTGTGTAATTCATCCCTTTTCCGTTCCTCTGTGCAAGTTTCCAAATGAAGTTCTACTTTTCTCACAATCCATAAAACTAATCATGTGCGAGTTGTCATTGAGGTGAGCAGAGGTATGCGCAGTTCATAACGTTTAAGCATGAACAGTCTTAGGTAGGGATGCCAGCCAAAGAAAATTAAGTTACTTTAATACTGTTAAACAGCTTGACTGCAAAGAATCGTGTGAACTTTTTCTATAGGATTGTATAACTTCAAAGGAGCCATTTATAACTATGTCATCTATGCTGGAGGGAAGAATCTTACTGTTAATAAGCTAAGGCATTGTTTGGACATGTTTACTGGACATACGCGGTAGTAAAAGGGATTTATGCAGACAGCAAAATGATGCAAAGTAAGCTAAAAGCTTTAATATTGCATACAAAAGACTTCTCTCTTGACAGTGCCTCTCAAACATTTCACTGAAAGTATTCGTATTGAGGCAGTGTGGTATTACATGGCTTTGGATAAATGCTCTTGGGTTTTGTCCCTGTCTCTGTTATCTCATAAAGCAGTTTTTCTGTGCACCAAAAATCCACAGCTCGTGCTGTGTTGCTGTCAGGTAGGTTAGAGCAGAGTGCAGGCTGGCAACATTGATCTTAAATGACTGAACTGTTGCAGAGCTCTGCCATCTTTCTGTTGAACAGCAGTACATGTATTTTGCAAAAAAAAATTGTTTTTCACCACATTTTAAAAAGAAAATGAAGCTCGTGGGTAGGTAGGTGCATGCATGTAGGCAGACACAGGTCATTGGAAGAGCTTGTGCCTTTCTTTCTGGAAGCTTCGGTCACCTCACTGAGCCACGGTACCTTGAGGCTTGCCTGAGGCTTCCAAGGAAGGGCTGTTTTAGGTAGGTGGGATAACCAGTAGGCAGGATATGAAAATCATTCTGCTCACTTTGTCAGAAACAGGTATGAACAGCAGATAGGAATTCAGGTTTCCTCACTCTTCATGAGTTTCTTGGAGATGAGGGAAGTAGTGGCTCAGCGGACCTAATGCTTTGAGTCTTCCGAGTCCCACTAGAGAACACTTTTAGATACAGATGATAAGAATTTCAGAACTGCAGAACTAAACCAACTTATTTCAATGCTGGGTTATGACAGTAAGAAGTACTACTTTTTCAAGCCAGTATACTGAATAATTTAGGGCCCTATCAACAATGGCAGATGGGTGGTGGTTTAATCTGCTGCCGAAGTCCATTCAGAAGTTACAAGGCAGCTTATGGTGATCTATTGAAAATCACTGTTCATGTAGAATAATTAACTGTAATTTACTACTAGTACAGCCTTAATAGTCTTCTCAAGTAAGCTTGATTTGTGCCAGTTCTTTTTTTAACCATAAAGACATTTGCAGAGTTTTGAAATCAAGTAATACAAATGACTAGGAAAAGAATATAGAACAAAGAAGAAAATAGTATTGTGATACACTCTGAAATTCATATGCTCGATACTGTGCAGTTATGTCGTTTATCTCAGAAGGTTATTGCAGAACTAGAAGTGGTTAAAGAACAACAAAAGGATGCACAGAGGAGATGGAGGGCTTCTATGCAAGGAAGAGACGAAATAGCTGGGACTTTTTAGCCTGCAAAGGGGGCAGTTTGAGGGCTGATACGATTGAAGTGTCTGCAAACATAGTGTGGACAGAAAGACATTCCTTAAAATAAGGGAGGGGAAGGGGGGTGAGGAGAGCATCAAATAAAACTAGTAGTTGCCTATCAAATATTTTTTTTTTTAGTAGTAGTAGTTAAGGTTTGGGACCGCCTGCCACAGAAGGGTTTTTATACAGAAGGGTGTTCATGTAAAAGGGTTACGTTGATCTCAGTGGGTAGTGACTAATAAATTCACATATAGGACCGAAACGGTCCAAGTGTTAAAGGTACCAGCCCTGCATGGGAAATACTCTGGGCTGGAAATTGCTGTAGAGTGGGCGAGATTACCAGGAGCATACATCGTACAAGAGCAGAGTGAGTGTAGTGTCATCTTCCATGGCATCTGTTACCGGCCACTGCTAGAGGCAGGTGCTAATTGTACCTTTTGATCTGATCCAGCATGGTTATCTTCATGTTCTTATGTAGTGGAGAGTGTCAGCAGAAACAGGAACAAAAGAAAAATAGTCTTGAGTTTGGGGTAAAAATACATTCCTTTAAGGAAAGTAGTTCCTAGATTCTGTTCTCACCTGCTGACGTCTCTCCTATCTGATTAAAAAACAGTGGATATTAGGAGTAAGGCTGTTTTGAATAATTGCTGTTGCCTTTCTGATGATACAGATGGCGGAGGATTGCTGCTTGACAATTGTTGGAAATCTTATAACTCCTGGCTCTAAACTTGGTCTGTCATTTGAGCGGAATGAAGACAAACAATATTGGCATATTAGTCCTGATGGCAGGATTTATAGCAAGATGAAACCCCAGCTGGTTTTAGATATCAAAGGTAAGCAAATGTGTTATCTCATTACATTGTGTCTTAATTACATGGTATTTACAGTGGGATAGGCACTAAACGTGCCTATAAATTAAGGATGGTGTTACAGTTACTTTAATCTAGAATCAAAAAAGACCCGATCAGCTAGTCTGACCTCCTAAATTATACAGGCCCTAGGACTTAATTTTTCCTACATAGAGTTTAGTAAGTCACAGTACTTGCTTAGCTTGTATTCCCAGTGTCCACTCACTGTAGATAACCTCAGTTAATTTTATGTGGCACTGGGTGATGTGAATATAATTATTCAAAATGCTGAAGCAAGAAAAACCTAGCTTCTCATTAACTTTAATTTGTATAGAGCAAATTTCCTTATATAGTAGTTGTAGATGCAATAGCCAAGGGATATTAGGAAAGCAAAGGCAGGCTTGGACACTGATGCGATTAGATGCAAAAAGTTTTTTCACTTGTTTATTGATGGCTATGCCGTCACCGTGAACATGAGACTCTGCCATAGCAGCCTAAGGTCTGTGTTTTACAGTCACTTTTGTCACAGCAGTTTGATTCATGTAGATGCTGTTTCTGAACTTTGTTTTCATAGAAGGTCTGAAAAAGCAACAAATGGAATAATTAGCAGAATTAGCATAATCGGATATTCTTACAGAACTCTGCATTTGTCAGGTGGGGGGAGCAATCATTTTCTATAGCTGTTAATTTTTAAGCTGTTTTAATTTTGCATTGATTGATGCTGTGACATTAATTACAGCAATTACAAAAAAACTAAAGAAAAATATGAGAGCAACACTTTAGAACAAAAAGGACAGAACTGTGAGAAAAGGGTCATCTAATGTCTGACCATAATACAACACTGGCACCAATAGTCACAAATTGTCTTTACTGCCATAAAAAGTTTGTGATGAGTAATTATAAACTTATCAAAGAGACTCCAGTTCAAGGGAGAGTCTTCAGTCACCACGACTCTGCACGCCTTTTTCTAAAGCCCGCTTCGAGTGGCACCAAGCAAGCAGAAATACTGTTACGCTGTCTTGTCTTCAGTTAATCATGTTAAAAGCAATTATGTATCCTGCATTCGTAACTGAAGATCTTCACAACTGATAGGTCTGGTGATGAAAGTATAGATGCACTCTTAGTTGGAAAAAAGGTAAATATGAAAGAGTAGGTACATTTAGCTTTTATTTGCGAAAGCCTAGTAGGAACATTACCTGTTTCTGCCAATTCTGGAGCATTAATGAATCCTTCAGCAAACGAATGCGGTGGTTGAGCTGTGCAGTGACCAATGCCACCCTGTGGATAAGCTGGCACAGCACCGAGCCTTGGCCAGAGCACCAGCAAAGTAAATATTCTCTTGGTCTGCTGAAAAACATCCCATCTTTTCCCTAAGATGTTTACATTCTATCAGACTCTGCTTACAAAATATTTTATCAGTGATAACTGAGCTATGTTATTTTTTTGTAGCTACTGGTTAGGTTTTTTTTTTTTCCCTGGGGGAGTATTTGATCTGGTATTCCCTTCTTTTTGCCCTCTTTCTGAAGAGTGTTGCGAGTATTTCTGCTGTGTCTCTCTACTGCTTTTTAGTAATTGCCTGGTGATGGCAAGGAGAGAAATCATGTTGGCGTTAACTTTCTCAGAGACCTTTCTGACTTGGGATAGTGGCACCAGAAAGCCTCCCCCAAATTCCTGAAGTGGAGAACAGCTAAGGTGCTTGAGATGACATTTCCTTAGTGCAAAAGAGCTGCTCTTAAATGTGCCTAGCGTATTTCTTTCTGAGATCTGCTAGAACCCCTATTTGTTACACTCAGTTTCTCAGCTGCCGGGCTTGTCTTTTGCTCATTTGGGGAGGGCGAGGCTGTAGGGGTGCCGAAGGAACAACGGTGTCCGTAGCAGCGTCCTGGTGCTCTGCATAAATGGTTGGCTCAGATGGCTGCTTCCAGTAGGAATAGTACCTGCTATTGCAGGTGTGTTGTACTACACGAGATACACGTGTCCTACGCTTCTGCAGCATGTACTAGATCTGAGAGAGAAAAAAAAGAAGTCAGTTCTGACTTTCAGCTCTACTTGAAGGTTTCTTTGCTTCTGAGTTTTTTAAGTCAGAATACTAATGGTGCTTTTCTATGGGAACGTTTGGCATTGCATCCTGTGCGTAAATGAAGCCTCTCTAAGAAAGGGTTATATTTTGCATTCTGGTACGTTCAGCTGCCAGTGGGGTGATATTCTGTGTAGGGTGGTTTGGGATGCAGCTGGTCAAAATACAGGCTGATAATGGCAGAGTAAATGAGCACTGGCCCCTGTCCCTGGTGCGGTCATGCTTGCATTGTCTGTTAGCAGCAGGACTTAGGTCATCGTGCAAACATCGTCTTTCGAGCGAAATGACTACTGACAGCTGCTGAGGGGAAACTGAACAGCCAAGCGCGACTTTTGGGAAGTGAGAGGCTTAAAGGAGTTACACCTGACTGTATTGCAGCGTCTCCTTCCTTTCCCATCCAGGCTGAGACAGCCGAGGTGCTGAATTACTGAAGGGGTGGAGAGGAGCAGGCAGGCAACCCTATTTCAAAATTAATTCCAAAAGCAGGCAGTGATGAAAATGTGTGTGTCTTTTCAGTGCCTTGGGGGGGGGGAGAAAAAAACTTGTCTACACCAGCACTTACTAGAGTTGCCCTGAAACCTTGAGTACGTGTCTCTTATTTCAAAGATAATCTGTGCTTTTTGAAATTTTTCTTTACAGGAGGTGCACAGTATGATCGCGACCATGTTATTGTCAACACAGTCAACGAAGAAAAGTTAACGCAGTGTTGGGAACCACTAGTTGTATAAACCCAAACGAGCATAGAGGACGTTTGAATTAGCCACTATTCCAGACACTAGAATTGGCACTGCCATCTCTGAAGCATACAGGATCAACAAGGAGAGTTTTGTCTCTTCTTTGCAATTTTAAAAAGAACAAGCAACAGAATGATTTCACCTCTCCATCTAAGATTATTAACCCTGTAAAAGCTTGAGTATCTCTCAACCTTTTTTTTTTTTTTTTAAATTTTTTTTAATTCTCACCACTCAATGTGAGGTAAGAGAGTGGTAGTATGCCTTGGGCTAGAGTGGAAGAACTAAAGGTGGGACAAGACCCGTGGAGTTACAATTGTGTCACTGAGTAGTTAATCCAGAACAGTCAATAAGCATAATTTTAAATTATTTTAAAAAGTTTCCTTTTTTTAACGGAGAGAAGGGCTACAAAATAATTAAAGCTTATTTTATAAAGGACAGGAGTGCAATGTGTATGTAGGTATAGCAACTTGGACCTATGGGCTGTAGTATAGAGAAATACTCAGTGCTGGAAATTAATATATTTGTCTCACTGGAACAAACTTACGTTTAATGAAAGTTTAAAGACTACTAGCACACAGCACATCCAAAGAATTTTTAACATGTGGCTTCAAATAAATTTAGTCTCTAATATAGTATGTCCTAAATTAAGAAAAAATTCTAGATTTTCTCATGTAGAGATGATGTAAATTAGATGTTTTGTAGAAAAGGAGAGGGCTGGCAAAAAGACGCATTGGAATGTGAAGAACTTGCCCATTTTCTAGGCTGCCTAACTTGTTGAGTTACAGGTGTTTTACTTCTTTGCCAAGTCAAATTTTAACCTTTTTTTAAAAGAGTTCCAGTAAGTATAGTCTTCCTGAACTCCACAATCGTATCGAAAACAAGAATTCTTAGGGAAGGTATCACTAAAGATGACCTAAATGGCACCGAAGCGCTGTGGTTACCAAGTTTTTCAGCCACTGCCTGTTGAGCTTACGGTGGAAAACGCCAGACTCCCAAGTATTTCTGGTGATGCTGGAAAGCAGCATCTGTGGTGGGCTGCTGGCTTGGGCAGAAGCGTCGGACTGCGCTAGTCAGGGGCACAGCCAAGCCTGGGTACGTGCCAGTCACTGGGGCGGTGCCCGTTCAAAGCGTTACTGGTTTAGTAAGAGCTTGTGACAAGTCACTTACTGGTGATTGCAGGAGGTTCTGTTGCCCTCTCTTAACCTGGTTTTGTTAGTTTTCCTTAATAATGTTGGCAAAATGGTAAAAAATACAAAGTCTTGTACTATGCTGCTGTGTTTTGTTCTGGCTTAGACCAGTGTTATTACAAGCTGCTCTTAGGAGCATCCAGGCCTTTGTCTTGCATAGTAAGTCTGTTTAAAATTAACATTTTCATTACTATTGTATTGCCTCAAAGGATACTGGTGCTTTTATTGTTACCACCCTAAGGAAGTGCCTTACTAATTCTCCTCCTTTTGTACAGATGTACTGAAGTTTTGTTGCTCTGAAATGTGCTGCTTTTAGTTCTTCATAGAAGATGTGTTGTTAATCGGTTCCAAACAGTGGTACTTTGTCATGCTGATGTGCTCTTGCTATATACAATATAGCATTTTACAAATAAATTTAAGTTAGGTAACTTTTTATTGACATTCTTTTTAAAGGTAGAAAGCTGACATTTTATGGTTAGTTTTCGTTTTGTCTTGTGCCCTTCTCTGTCAATAATTCCTCTATGACAGCTAGCTAATGAGGAGTGGATAGGTGGTGTGGAGTAGCTGCAGGCTCTGAGGAGCGGATGCTTCTCCTACACGAGCATGTGTTCAGTGCATTTGTACCTGGGGCCACGTGGCTGCTGCTTCTGTCCCTCGGTGGAAGCCGCTACATGACGTGGTTTTTCCATCCCTGTAGCTACACCACAGTACCTGTGCAGTTCTCAATTAAGAGGTTACCCCCTTCCTTCAGTCTACCTGGGTAATTGCAGGGGAAGTCACTCCATAGCCCATCTCCAGCAGAATGGTAAGTTTAAAAACAGACCAACAACCCCTCAAGCACTTCACCCCCACCAGCACTGACAGGGGCCACGGCAGGAACAAGGTCTCCTGATTACTGACAAAATCCTGTCCAGCCTACCTGCCTGAACACTGTTGTCAGCTGAAGCTGTGCCAGGAGTTAGGCAATTTGAATAATTTTCAGTTACAGATTGATTTTTGTTCCATGCTTCTACTCAGATTAGTTATGCCACGAGAGATTTGCCGTATCAGGATTAAAGTACCGGTCTTGAGACCACAATGCGACCACTTAATACAGGAAAAGTTTACAGGTTCTGAGAATGAACCCGATTGAGTAATAATATATATTAATAAAGGTGAACAGAACTAGGAAAGGCCAAGGAAAAAAGGCCAGCACAAGTTTCATATGGACAATTAGATAAAAGCATGCCTCACCCTTTCAGGACTTCGCTAAAACATCTGGAAAAATAAAAGCTATGAAATCTACAAACTGAAAATGCTGCTGACTGTTCGTCTCATCCCAAGTGCGAAGGGTGTTCTGCAAAAGTCACAACTACATTCTTAACATGGGTTTTCATGTAGAAATACCTAAGGAACATTAGTATTTCTTGTCTGTGTTTTAACAGTTACTAACAGGCAGAGTACAAAGGAATCAATGAGACTTTTTAAATTAAATTTATGCATCCTGTGTGAGCTTTTAAAGAAGAAATAGTTGCTACGTACCAATTCATGTTCAAGTGTGATTTACCAGTAAAGGACTGACTGCGGGCAGAATGATGATTAGAGATACTTTATTTTTTACTAATTACATCGATCACTGTTTTTCCACGTGCATGTCCTCCTTCCAACTTCAGAAAGGCCTTTGGAACTTCAGAAAATGAGAAGACTTGATCAATAACTGGTTGAATCTACAAAATAAAGAAGAAGTGTCAGTGTACCAGGAATAAAACAATGTATCACCTTCATACTTCAAAACTGTATGAAAAGGGTGAGGTTTCTTTATAGTATTTAGAGCAGAAGTTGCCAAGTGATGCAGTCACGAGCTTTTAATGTTTCTCAGGGACCCCTCTGCATGCAGGAGAAGGTTTTCTGCTGCTCTTTGCCCAAGTTTTGAAACACCTCTACTAGCGCAGTTCAGAGCCCTCACCTGGGACTCTTAACGATAAAGGCACCATGCAAGGCTCTAAGTCCCTTTAAAAGCTGACACTGTGGTTCTACTTTTTGTTACCCACAATGATACACTGAGGAAAAGGAAGAATAATTTTTTTGGTCTCCTATTTCTCTACTGGTTTTCTTGTTTAAACCCAAGGATTTTCAAAAGGTCAGGTGTTTTATAGATACTTATGAATCTAGTGCCTATCTGCATCAGTGCATGCCTCAGTACCCTTAAAAGGCTTGGCTGCAAATGACGTACCAAAAAAAAAAAAGTCCATAAACATTTGTTGCTGAATCATTTAGATACACACACTTGAGAACTCAGCCGCTGTGTATTCCAATAGGCATACATCATTAAGCCCAGCTTGCATCGACTGCTATTTTGGCATTAATTTTTTAGAGTAGCCTTCTGGATTGTTTTAGACTCATTTCTAATAACGAAGGTGAAAATCCCCTAGTCACTGTCCCCATTATTAACTAAGGAGCCCAAAACCCCTACAAGCGTTTTCTTCAGACATCATAGTGTACCGACAAAGGCAGAAAAAAACCCAACTGCTTCTGAGAAACACTTGTCGCCGCTGGGCCAAGGGAAGAGACTTCTTCTATCATCAACTTCTAAGTCAGCCTTCCAAAGGCCAAAGTAAGATCTGTGGACAAAGGTGCGTCCCACACCTCCTCCCCAAGGGCCTGCCTACCCTGCGGTTGGTCTCCTACCTTGGATCCCCTCACCACAGCCCACTGGGCATTGATGAACTCCTCATCCTAATCCTCTGATCGGGGAAAAACCTTAACAGTGGATGAGTCTGCAGCTAGCTCTCGCAGTCATGAAGATCAGAAGTAACAAAGACCCAAGCACGCTATTTATGCTTGTTACTTGTGTCAGTGAAAAAAACAGCTTCAGGCTTTTTCCTCACAGCTACCAGCACCCATGCTATCTTGTCGAATACTCCAGAACTGGTAACTGCCCTCTCCTGGTAGGACACGCATCTCACTAAATACAAGAGGAATACAACAACAATAACATTGCAAACAATTTGCCATCATCAGAACAGTCTTTCAAAAGGCAAGGGGTATGGATTCAGGCATGCTGCTTAGAACCAAGGAAAGGGTTTCATACGCACGTATTTTCTAAGCGGCAGCGCTGACCACCCAGCGCTCTCCCCAAGAGCACAACGTATCTGGGAGTTGTCCGTGCTCCTGTAGGTCATTCTGTCAACTCTTACTTTTCTCTTTATTCAGACACAGTGCCTTACCTTGAAGTCCATTCATTGCACTAGAATAACTGTGTTTGCTTATACGAGAACAGTAATCCAAGATATCGGTAATCTATTACACTGCACTATTTCCTAATCTTGTCACTAGTTTTTCCTTTTTAGTTTGTCAAGGCAAATTAGCAGTACTATGAGACTTGCCATGGCAGAAAAGTAGGAATGAGTGAACCCCCTCCATAGAAAAAGTCAGACTTAGCAGCCAAATCACTATGAGAGCAGCTGTGCAAATAAATATATTCACCAAGTGCCTCAAACTCGCCAGGCTGCAGGGTACAAGGCTGGGTAATTTCTTCCCCTTGTTCTGCCAGGACAATCTCTGTAAACAAACCTTGAATAAAGTGAGAAGTAACACACAGCAGAGGAGCCACGCAGATACCGTGGAAGGCTTTCTGCTGCTCACCTGGGGCAGAAACGTGAGGCATGAGCGATCAAGACAAAAAAAAGGACGTTTGGTCAACACCCAGCACAGAATGGAAATGTCATCTCAGGCACTGGCAAAGTCAGGGACGTTGACCCAGGGCAGCAAAACCACTGAATGAGACAATGGCGTGGGGTAAACTGAGGCGCTGAGCAAACGGCAGCTGCTGTGACTGTCGGCAGGAGGAACGTGCTGCTGGTCAGCAGTGCCTGACTGGAGGAAGCCCAAGCCTTGCTTTCAGAGCAGAAGCTTGGTAAAAAAAACAATTCAGTAACCTTGTTGAGCCAAGCACAAGCGCAGCACTCGTACAAGCACTTAATTGTTAAGGGCAGTTACATACAAAGCTGTGCTTCAGTCAGGGAAAAAAAAACCCAACGTACAGCAACTGAGCCTCCTGGAGCATGGACACAGATGACCCAAGCAGGGCAAGGGGCTGTGAGGGAGGGAAAAATGCAGCACAAGGGATGTGAAGCACAAACGATTCCTGGGAAAAGCCAAAGTTAATTTCAGACACGTGCAGCAACTGAGAAAAAATGACCAAGCCACTTCAGTGTTCTGCTACCGGCAGTCACTGACTGGGGGTTGCAGTGAAGAACCCTGACAGAACGAGGTACGTGATGTCCCCAGCCTCACAGGTAAAGTTCAAAGCATGGCATTTGAAAAGTGGTGACACAGGGGTTCAGAGGAACCCTGAATTTGGCCTCACAGTTCAAAACACCATGTGTATTGCAGGCACCACACACTGAAAGCCCATCTGGTACATTGATGTAACCTCTAGCTCCATTTAAACGCTGGCTTTAGCCAGTGCTATAGAAAGGCATGAATACTAAACTGATGATCCTGACAATCTAGAGCATTAAACATTTTATCTGGCTGGCTGGTCAGTCCCATTGTTTGAATAACCCTGAAAGGGCTGACCGTGTTACAGCACAGTGATTCACTCAGCCTTTACCATAATCCACTGACTAAGATAAAATTTCTTCCTGTGAACAGACAAACAAGTAGGGGAGCGTCTGCTGTTTGTTGAATGTGTGATAATAAATGGAGATTAACTGGATAATAAAAACACTGCCTATTTACAGCCACACATCAGTTCCTTGCCAGAGGACACCTATTTGTTCAGGGAAAAAGGGATTAAACTAAAGTCTAGGAGAGAAAGGATTACACACACCCGCATTGAAATGTTTATCTGAAAACAGATTGGGCCTGAAAGGTATTTTCTTCTCTTCATTCTCTCTGATGCAGGACATAGTATAGAAATGAATCTCAGGTCTCTTGAAATGAACTCATGTGTTTGGAAAAATAAAGTAATTGCTGATGCTGATTATGGCTATCCTACATAGAGCAGAGAAGCGGTACCCCAGCCAACGCAGCTCTGAACGCAGCAGGCAGAGAGCAGGCCCTGGCAGTAGTTGACCGGTCAGCAGTAACACACTCCTGGCTCCTGGCAAATTCAAGGCCACCCTTGGAGGTCCCCAATTCTGTGGTACCAAGGACACAATGTGAATTTATCAGGAGGGGACAAGCAAGAAAACATGAAGGGAATGAAGATGGCTTTGATCCTCGTATTAGCAACAAGTCGCTCCAGTGGAGCTGCTTCCTGCCGCCGGAGGGAGAGCTGGAGCCTTGAAATGCTCAGGAGAGAGACGAACCCAACCTCGGAGCATGCCTAGTTCAAAATGGAGAAGAAAAAAAAGTCCCCTCACTCCAAGGGCAAGGACAGTGCATTGGCCGTCCCCTAGGTTCGTAAAGGATGGCCCTGTGAGAACTGGAGGGCGGCCTTGCTTTGCAGAGAGCCTCCCTCCCAGGGCACGTGCCCGACTTACGCCTTGCTTACACGCGTTGGAAAAGATACTTGCGTATGCACAGACCAAGAGCTGTGATGTGCTCCAGCAGACATCAAAATCCTCTTCGAGGCTTACTGTAATGGGAAAGAGCTGCTTGTCATTTGACTTAGCTGAGTTAAAAGCTGAGATAAAGGCTGCCCTTCTCCAGAAATTACCACCATGCCCAAATGTGGTATATGAGCACAAATGCACAAATGATGCTCTCCTTTGGCCTTCAGTGAGTCTCCCTTCAACGTCAACAAGAGACGTGAACATGAATCACTACAAAGAACAGTCCCCATCCTGTAACTAAACGTTTAGTTATCCATTCAGTTCTCGATTGTCATCTCATGGAAAAAATGCTGGTTTGGGACACTGCTGTTTCTGTCATTTCTTCCTTTTAGCTGAGCATCTCCTCCTCTGCTGTACTTAAGTTCCCCGTTCTTTGGGTCTTAATCCTACCCCTCTCTTCCCCTTAAAATGGCATGCAACAATGTCTGCTGAGCCTCACACTGCTTGCCAACATGAGGTTCTAGGGTCAACCCTCACTGAAGACAAAAGTTAAAGTTCTTTTACCTCCTGGAACCGCTGGCTCTCGTCACATGTTGTATGGGAGGCTTTGCAGCTATACAGTACTATGGTTTTGATTAACTTGTATTTCAGAGGATACACGCTTTCAGCCAAGAGCACACTAAAGGACATCAGGTACGTGATATTTCTGTCCCAAATGCCTAACAGAAGTAAAAATGATACAATGATCCAGTCTCGTACGCACGTAAGAAGAATAGCGGTGCAGTGGTTAAGACAGGGGAATGGAAGGCATGTTGTCCTGGGGTCCACTCCCATGGTCAATCTTACCAACAACTGCATTACCGGCTTTTGTTTGTTTGTTTTTCAAGCCAAGGTACATTCTCTTATATCAAGCCCCTAACAGCAGCCCACAGGAACTCACAAGCATCATCTACAATTATTAAAATGCTAGAAGATAAATCCCAGTTAAGCAGGCTATTGGGGTATGGTTTGGAGTGTAGAAGAGGCTTAAAAAAATCTCTAGCTCATTAATTGGCCCTGGCAGAACAGCTTCTACAGAACACAGTGAAGTAAGAAACTGGAACAAGCCCAGCATTGCAGCGTGTGCCAGCCTAGCCCAACCTTAAATCAGTAGAAACGAGGAAGATCCTGGGTTTAGTTACCTACTGAACGCTGCTGAAAAACTGTTAACTAAAGGAAAGAGCAGC